TCAACTTTTGGGAGATAAGCTAGTAAGTTGAACATTCAGAAAATAAAATCGTGTATCAATATGTACAGTAGAAGCAGAGTATGTTGTTGCTGCTAGCTGTTGTTCACAAGTAATCTGGATGAAAACCCAACTGAAATATTATGAGTTCCATTATGAAAGATTCCCATCTTATGTGATTCCAAAAGTGCAATAGCAATTTATGCAAATCATGTGCAGCACTCCAAGACAAAGCATATTGATGTTAGGTACCATTTTCTCAAAGATCATGTACAAAAAGGAACTATAAAGATGTATTTTGTTCCTACAGATATCCAACTTGCTGATCTTTTTACAAAAGCCTTAGGTGAGAAAAGATTTCTTTTTCTAGTCAGCAAGATAGGTATGTTGAATCTCACCACTTAAGGCATTCTTTTAATCAACCAGAGATCCTTTCTGTCTCTGGTACATGTAAAAGTGGTAAAATCTGGCAAAGAAACTAAGTTTTCTATAACAGAGCCTTTAGTTCTAAAGGTCAGAGCCTTTGTATGTTGGTAAAACTTATTTCACTTTGCCATACATCCCTTGCATACAGAGCCTCTGGTTCCACAATCCAAAGCCTCTGTTTCTCAACTCTTTGGAACCAGAGCCCCTCTAGTCCAAAGAAATATTATTCCTCCAAGTCCAAATAAGCCCCTAGTAAAACCAGAGCCTCTGGTTTTAAAGACCAGAGCTTCTAGATTCATGGTCTTAAGGACCAGAGCCCCTCTGGTCCTACCTATTCACCTTATCAAAACATATTTTGCTCATTATACTTGATGTTTTGATCCTTCATTGAAACCAGAGCCTTTGGTTCCGTAAACCAGAGCTTCTGGATCACAAGTCTTTGGAACCAGAGCCTCTCTGGTCCAATAGACGATGCTCATCACAAGTCTTCAAGTCCTAAAAGCAACCAGAGCCTCTGGTTCAATAGCCCAGAGACTCTGGTCCACCTACTCTTTGCAACTAGAGCCCCTCCGGTTGTACTAAAAGTTCACTTAAGACTAACAAGTGCACTATCAATGTAACCAGATCCTCTGTTTCATACCTCTTTGCACCCAGAGCACCTCTGGTTACACTAAGATTTCATTTTAAACCTTCATGTCACTGCCTCTTTGCAACCAGAGCCCCTCTAGTTGATCTAAGAACTCTTTAAGGACCTAAAGTGTAATATTCAAGTAACCTGAGCCTCTGGTTCTAAATACCAGAGCCTCTGTCTTGACAACTCTTTAGAACCAGAGCCCCTCTAGTAACATTAGAGTGCTTTTTAGACCAAGTCTAATGCTCCAAGCACAACCAGAGCCTCTGATTCTTAAGACCAGAGTCTCTCGACACCAAATACTGACCCAATACTTCTTGTTTGCTTGAAGGTGACTGGAATGCATTTGGGTCTTTGAACAAGTATATACGTTAACCAACTTTCAAACATGAAACATCTTGCTTTTTTTCTACAGAGATCGTCATGATACGTGATGCGTTATGATCGTAAGTGTGCACACAGTGGGCACAAAATCCCCAAAGTGGCGGTGCAAGTGCACGCCGACACTTTGATCGCTTCAAGTAATAAAGTGGTATAGTACCAAGATCGTTTCCACATAGACTGGACTTACTGAGAATCTGAGATTTTCATGAACTTTTTGAACATGTTTCGGTTTGAGAAAATAATTGAGTTTTGATTGTGCAAAGCTTAGAAATATGAAATAAACCTTTGATATTAAAATATGGGTATGGGTGTAAGCTTCCCTTAAGAATGATGTTGGAACAGTTTGGTCAGGAACTCATGGGACTTCTATAAGAACTTCGATCTCTCGAAAGTGAATTCTTATATACTGTTCCCACATAATGCCCACAAAGCATCCAGTTTTATCAATCTTTAAACTTGCCGATTAGCTAATAGATAAAAAGATATCTGGTTCCACTAGCCTGAAGATTTATACTCACAACTCATTGTCGTATAAACTCGACTAATATCTGAACATTAGCTAAAACATGCAAAACCCGCATCTTTGCGTGATTATCAAAGACTCTCTCAAATCTTTGTGCATCATCTAAGCCGTATTTCAGATCYRSYCATCTCTGGATCAAGGATCTAATATTAACACTTCAAAGTGATCAGCTTATCTGTGTTGAGCTTAAGTCCCGACTTAAATGACCAAGCTTAAGAATCAATAAAATTGGCAACACCCAAGTGTGCCTTCAAATTCTTAAGTTTGATTCACACCCACACCCAAAGGGGTGCTTAGCTCATAATAAAATTAGAACACATAGAGGAAACAGAAGGAGAAAAATGCATAAGAATTACTTGAACTGAAAATAATATTTAAACTGTTGCCCACAGAGGGCATACAATACACAGTGGTGAGAATTAAAGACTAAGTACGAAAATAAAATTACAAGCAGAAATTAAACTTGCTCTACTACTGTAGAGCTTGAGAGAATGTTCCAAGGTTGCTTAGCTAAATTGTTGATGGAATGGATGTCTTCCAAATGAGAGAAAAGCTTCAATATATAGGAAAAAGTGAGAACCTGACAAACTCTTCGCCCAAAGGAAGAAAGTCTTCATCGACTAGAAGGTAAGGACCTCTCATCACCACATGTCTACTTTTTCTGGCCTAGTCACTTTTTCTTGAAAGGTTGCAAAAGGTAAAGTTACCTAACCATTAAAATAATGAAAAGGTAAGGAAGACTTTTTCATTAAAATAATGGTAGAGGTACTTTATTGGCATTTTATAACTCAACCAGGCTCATTCTTCCAAGTAACTCAATATTTTTGGATCTAAACTCAGAATTAAATCTCATTAATACCCAAGAGAGCCAGTATTTGAATTTTGTTCAAATCCGTCTTGAGAAAAATACACCATAGGAAGAATGTGAGCAGAAAGTGGGCAGTATACCAACAGCAATGGGTTTTTTAGAAAATAATTAAATTTTTGACTTTTCATCACCTCTTAGCATATTTTGGACCAAAAATATAGGATAAGAGCAAAATAGGTATCAAAGACACAATAAAATAGGGATATTGAAGACAAATAACTCTCACAAATTGAGAGTTATCAATACGCCAACCACAATTTTCTTACACACATTGTCACTAAGACCATATGTATGCTCGTATTGAGATTCAAATTGAGGCACATAAGAAAGCTAATTCTGCAAAGTTACGTACACTGGTTGAGGATGATAATGATCATGGGTTCATACATTCCTAGATTATAACTAATTCCTAGATTAGGACTACCCTCAACATCTATTCTAGTGTTGGAACTACCCCCAACATTGCTTATATCGCATGTTGACAACCTCATAAAGTTTAGGCAGTTTATTTGACCCAACAACATATTCCATAAAAATAAAAACATCGTCATTATCACCTAACTCGATACTTGAACCAAAATAAACCTAATCATACCAACAAAATGGTTTAAACCAATTTTTTTTCTCCACATAGCTACCAAACTCGGGTATGTAATATTTGGGGTCAACATCACTCCACGATGCATCATTTCAGTAGAAACATACTCCCAAACATCATTAACTTTTGCCCATGAACCACCAACACGGAGATGTAACCTAATTTCTTCGGTTCCAGAATTCATTTTCAAAAAAAAATGATGGACCAAATTTATGAGTATTGAAGAAGAAAATACGAATTCATATGGAAAAATGTTGTTTCAAAAACTGAAATCAAAAATATTTTGTATATCTTCATGCAATATCTTTGTTCCCTTTATAGATCAAATTATTGCATAATGTACGAAACAACCATCAATGTACTGATAAAATGTACGATTACTACAAAAGTTGGAATCAAAATCAATGTACATCCGCAATTAAACATATCTAAATATTTGTAAATGGGGTTTCTTGGAGGAAGTTGCGGTTTGGAGTTCTTGAGATCAAATTGCAATTGAGGTTTCCTAAACCATATCTCCCCGTGGTGACACGTGGTACTTCGTAAGTTGTAGCTTCGGCACCTACGAAGGTAGTGATTTTCTTGAAAATGTGGGAAAGGAATGACTACGAAGTAAATTGATTCGGTCAAAATGGCTATTTATGTTATATCCCCAATAATGGCAGAAGAAGATTACGAGGAATGAGGGTGGGTAGGGACCAGAAGTTTATTTAAGTAAACTAAAATTTGAACGATTTTTAATATAAGCAAAGTACACATGTCATCTACATCCTCTTGAACAATATAAGCAAAGAAAATATTCAGTATAACTCGTTTAAAAGGTAACCGGTTAATTATTGTTATAATGGATAAAAGTTTTAAACTACAATGTCTTAGTAAAAAAATAATTTAAAAGTATATTATTGTAACAGAAAGAAAACAAAAGTACAATGTTATAATAACTTTTTTTCAAAAGTACATTGTTATTTATGGTGTGTTTGGTATGTAGACTACATGAGACGGAACAGAACAAAAAAAATAGTCTCATGTTTGGCATGCCATAGACAAAAAAAGCATAGGACAAGGTGAGACTATTTTTAGTTTTCGTAGGACAAATCTTGAGATGTAGTCTTGGAATGTTAAACTTTTGACAATGACGTGACAAATGTTATTTACAATTGTTGTGTTTAAATTATGTATTTATTTAGAACTTGTGGTATGACAAATGTTATTTACATGTGGTCTTGGAATGTTGAAAAAAATATTGATATCATAGAGTAAATAATTTAAATATATTTTGATTGATTTGTTGTCATTTTACAATAATTATATAATATAAAATAACACTGAACAACATTTAAGAATAATATGATCATTTTAATAGTTTTGTTATGTCATGTTCTAATCGTACCAAGCATTTAGAGATAATATGGTCATTATATGTTAAAATATTATTTTTCCCTAATTTATAAATAGGTTTGGGAGATGGATGGCTCACTAGATCTTGGATTTGATTCCCACTGAACCACTCCAAGCACACAAGGGAATGAAGGAAGGAAGGAACTCACCCTCTTGCAGACAATGGAATAAAATGTTAACGAGAAAAACTACAGTACCCATCTAAAAACACTTTGTGTTTTGTAAAACACTCGACGGAAGAATATGATTTTGATAAATCGACTCCACATCATTTCATTTGCCAACGTATATGCTAATTAGACTAAACTAGTAATTTTAGTTTATCTACCACCAATTCACCGCAATCTGCATTTGCTTCCTGTTGAACCACCGCAGTCGTATCGGCACTTGATTCTTTTGCCTCAAAAGAACCACTTTTCGCAAGGTTATGTGTCGACAAACTTCCCGTTTCAGAAAAATCCTTCAAAAAAGAATCCTCCAAAGGCCCTATCAATGCTATGCTGTGCGGGATAATACTTGATCCTGGCCCATTTGCTTCTTTAGAACCAGCTACGGTTTCTACACGAGGTTTGTTATGTGTTAAAGAACTTTGAAGAACATCTTCAGAATTGTGGGTTGCTGTACTCTGCTCAATAATTGCCGACTCAGGCCCATGATCCTCTTTAGAATTAGATTTGGTTTCTGCATGAGGTTGCTTTGGAGAAGCATCATCACTTAACAGGTCTTTCTGTGATTCGTCGATTATGGGATGTAGATGGGGGCAGACGGGTGGGGCCCTTTCACGACACTTGTGGCACTTGAACCCAATAATAAACCCTATGTGTTCATCTTGAAGCCCGAAAGCATCCCCATGGTACCAGTCTGCATTAATATCACAACTCTTAAATTTGATTTATACAACATAAAAACTGCAAACAATAAGTAAATTAAGACAGTTTAGTTACCTCCACAAGTCTCGCAGCTGATATAATTCAATGATGATCGGAATTCTGGTTCATGACAAAGAGAACATTTAGGTTGATTGGTGATGGAAGCCAACTGGTCAAAAGCCACAAGATGATTCCTGGTCCTAAAATTCGTAACTCGTTCATCATCAGGCTTTCTGGACAGGAGAAGACCACGGAGCCAATACGTAGTTTGCATTTGTGATCTCTTCTTCTGAAAACTTTCCTTTCTTATTTTTCTTGGTCTTCCTCTTTTGCCCTTCGGTTTTTTCACATCATCAGCAGAGTTCAGTTGTTTCTTTTTATCAGCAGATTTCACTTGCTTCTTTTTTGGTTGTTTCTTTTTCCGCTTCTTTTTAGATTGCAGGGAAACAATTTTAGCTGTCCGAGCAGATCGTCGTAGTGGTACAGCAACACCTCTACCCTTGCCTTGCAATTGCTTTCCTTTCCCAGCTCTTTTAGTTGTTTTTGACTGCACTGGCTTTACGATGTTTGAGGCTTTCTTGGTCTTCCTAGAATGCATTTTCCCCTTCTTGGGGATGATCTTCAGAGTGTCACCACCATGGCACTTGTGGCACGTATAGGTACATTTTGCAGTTAAGCCTTCACTGGTCTTCTTCACATGTCTTTTATGGAAAACGCCTGGATATATAAACCACCAGATACCAATTAAAAGGGTCATGCATTACACATCTACTAGTTCTATGAATAACGGATGAGGAATATAACCAACACACACATGAATATATAGACACGGTTTATGTATACACCCACATGTGTATAGTACTGTTAGGCCCGAAGTTACAAGGACTAGTACTAGGAGAGGAAATAATAAGAGGCAGTAGGGGTACTTTTGTAATAATGCTTGCTGGATAATCAGGCAGCTAGGGCAGTAGTTGATCTGCCTTGGGGAAAGAGAAGGGGGGGGGGGGGGTAAATAAGAAAGGAGTAGTGGGAGGAGGGTATATTCATTCTGTTGCAAGACAATCTTGTCGCCTCAGCCTCTCAATAGCTGGGAAACCATTCAACAATTGAACATTTAACAAATTACAGTCTGATTGCAAAAAATATGAAAGGGTAATATATATATATATATATATATATATATAGATAACATATGTGTGCATCTCTATATATGTCCTCCATCAGGTGTAGGAACACCATTATATTATAGAGATATAACCTGTATATATGTCAGTTGATGGTAGCAATGAACGGGGAGGTAAAGGGTTCGAGGAGTTTATACATGTTTTTCTGTTCCGTGTTTTCCAAGAGCAATGTCAATTCCCCTTCACCCTTACCTTCAGCTCTAATACATTTTAGCTCAGCAGCATATCCAGAAATGAAAACAAAGGCTACATAAGTGAAGATCCACAAATGATACTCATCTGATCATTTGTAGGTGCAAACAAAGGTCTAATACAGTTTTCGGAACACTAGAAAGGCAGAACAAATGCTGTGAAATTGACGCTAAGTTGTGCTAAAAATATACGGAGCTTCAATACGGGATCAGAAGACGGTGCAAGTGTTGAAAGCATAAAATCATGCTTTTTAAGGCTTACAAGCTTTTGACAGAACATCAAATTTTAAATGAAAGCATGCATTGAACTAATCAGAGGCAATGAGTGCTAGATCAGCGTCAAGAAGAACCAACAAGGTCCAAAAGTAATGTCGAGTTCACACGAGGTTCAAAACAAAGGGAGTTCCACAAGAGCAAAGATCCTTTTAGCCATTAGGGATGTGACTTTGGCTAAGAAGATTCTAGGGGGCTTAAAAGATTGGACTGGGCCGACACTGTCATAAAAGTTAGAGGCGAGCATCGGAGGTCATGATGCTTTTTATCAAAGGTCACATAAATTATATCAAACAACAAACACTATGTCTCCACTTACAGGTTTCTACTATTGCTGACGGATGCAAAACTCTACCATAGTTATAACAACCAATGTGTGATTTTAGGGCATTGCTAGCATATAGATCTCTAGGAACTGAAACCAAAGGTAACCCTAGAAATTATATATCTGGGATTGGGTTCCCGTGAGAAGGAAGTCTTTGCTTAAAGCGTGAGAATGAACCTTCATCAACCTGCATCTACCTCCATTTCACAAATCTTCATCTACCTTTATTTACCTTCAACTACCTTCATTCACCTATTTATATCGATTTTAATAAATTCATGCATGTGAAAGTGAAAGCGATTGAAGATATATACGAGTTTGTGAAGATGATTGAAAGTGAAGATAAAGGTGAAGATGAAGATAGTTGAATATACATTAAAGCCCCTGTTTTTGTCAGCTAACAATTGAAGGTCCGTGTTTTTTTAGCTGTGAGATCAAAAAATCAACTCATCCAAAGTTTCACAAGTGAAAGAGGTTGTTCTAGCATGATCCCAACACACTCTCTCTCTCTCTCTCTGTATATATATATATATACACACACACATAGAGAAAGAGAGAACATTTCAAATAGAAACCATGTAAATGTTACACACCGTAAAAATCAACCTCGGCCCTAGATTTTATGTTGAAATTTTTAGGCAGTTACCAGATCAGTTGTAGATAAGGTTGAAAGTAAATTTCGGAACCGATTTAATCCACATCATTAAACATTAATTTGATAATTTGCACGGAACGTTGAAATTGATTTGTATGGTTTGTAAAATTTCGGTAATCTATATATATATATATAGACTTGGGGTCACGTGAGACCAGCTTGTTTTCGTGAGACCCGTGAGACCACTTTTTTACACTTGAAACTTCACAGCAAAACCCTGTGAAGGTAACCTTCACAGCGTTTTGCTGTAAAGTTTCAAGTGTAAAAAGTGGTTTCACGGGTCTCACAAAAACAGGCTAGTCTCACATGAACCCAACCCTATATGAAGCATTTTGGTAATACTTTAATAAACTCTTATATTTTAACAGTATAATCTATGAAGCAACAAGTATAAATCAATCATGCATTAGAGCGATGGTTTCACAAACCCAATCAAATGCACTTTTAAGTATTTGATTCTTTTCTTTTATGTTCTCTTGTTATAGAGTGTAAGAAGGTGATTTAAAACTTTGAAGAGTGAGGGTGTAATTGGGGTGGCTTGAGAGATTAGAGTATGTGATTCTAATAATTTTTCAGTTTTCACAGTGGATTTCGTCTCTGAAGGCCTATGTTTCCAAAACAAAATAAAACAATTTAGCACATTTAGTATATATGTTCGAACATAAATTACAATTTTCTTTTTTAATGAGGAATTGCATTAATTTTCCATTATCAAGGGTCACGTGAGATATTAGTCCGTGTGATTGTACTAATTTTTCACATAGTAGATTTTGTAAGTGGATGTCCATGTTTCTAAAAGAAAAATCAAAACAATTTAACATATTTAGTCATTTATGTTTAAACATAAATTTCAGAATTTCTTTTTTAACGAGGAATTGCATTAATTTTCCATTATTGGTTTATAATAGAATTTTACATCCCACTGCATCGCATGGGCACACAACTGATATTATACATATATAGAGGGAAACTTCAGTTGCGAATCTGATTTCTGTTGCGAATCGGGGGACAACCAAGAGCATCATACATGTGACAACATTCGTCATGAATAGTGGACTTAAATTTTTTACAATATTCATGATGAATGATACACCATTCATGATGAATGTCCCAGACATGTGCCGCACTCTCGTTGGTCCTCTGGTTTGCAATGGAAATTAGGTTCACAACCCAACCTGCCCCTGTATACATGTAACGTTAGGTTCAGGTGAGAACAACCCCTTTTTGTGAGAATGTGAGAAAAAATGAAGGTTCCTTATATTGTGCAAATGTCACACAATATAACATAACCTTCCACGATTGAAGGTGATACAAAAGTTACAAACCAAAACACAATATAACGTAGCATTAATAGGATGAAAATACTTTCACTTGTTCTCACCTTTTCACGAAAATGAAAATTTTCCATCATGATCCTGGCTCTCTCTCTCTCTCTCTCTCTCTCTCTCTCTCTCTATATATATATATATATATATATATATATATATACTATATTATAAAGCATTTGACAAA